TCAGAATTTGGCCTAACTGCTAAGCTGCTACAGTAGAACCTCGATAACAAGACTCTCAAGGGGATTATTAAATAAGACCAAGGTTGACTTCTTATCGAGGTTTGCAACGACATGTGATAAGGGATAAAATAAAATTCAAGGGGTTTAGAAAATGACACTTGTTAAAAAGGGTGACTTGTTATCGAGGGTCTTGTTATCAAGGTTCCACTGAACTTGGTTTTTCTTGAAATGATAAAATCCACGATAATAAGAGAGTGATTATTGTTCATTGTTGGTAACTGTTTTGGTACTTACCACTACCTAAAGTACCAAAATCTTTTAAAGCAATAGAATAAAAAAAAACTATCAAATATTGATTAGCAATTTTTAACCGTTATAATTTATGTTTTTAATATTCAACTCTTTATAAAACTATTAGGTAGTTGGCCACATCAAAATTAAAAAGTATTAATTGTTTACCAAGTTAAATTACTTTAACCGTGTTATAAAAACTTCCCTCATTACTTTTTACTTTTTACTATCATAAGTAAGATTAAATGCTGGTTTTTGTCAAGCTTGGTGTTTTCAACAAGACACAAGTATTGAAACTGGTTTTATTACTGATAACGATAACACATTACATTTTGGGTTATCACTGGTCATATTGCTGACCCCCTCTGGTGAGATAAAGCTGGTCCCCAGCTACAGAGTTTCCATTGCTTTTATCAATTTGCACCCAAACTTGTTATTATCAGTCTAAGTAGCTTCTTTCGAGCGATATAGGAAGTCATTTTCCTAATTTTTTTAAATTCTAACTTTCCACAAGAGACTGTTTAGTTATTGAATCCAATCTAATCTAATCTAATTTTGTTTCCTTAAAACTTGGTATTTTTTTATAAACTAAATTTAGGATGAATGAATGTGTTGCCAAATTAAATTTGTTGTAATTGCCAATAGAATGTTTTTAATCTCACAAAACTACAAGTTGTGCCATTCTAATTCTGCATTTACACCGGAGTTAACAAAATTAATTTCAAACAAAAGCAGCAATCTAAAAATTGGTATAAAATATATATACATATATATAATAGTTGTATATATTAAAGTTAATAATTAAAGTTTTCAACGGATCATATCATTTGCCATTTGTCCGAGTTTGCTGAAAATTACAAAATATTAGGAAAGTCATATGTTCGAGGTTCATTTGTCTGAGGTTTAATTAACAACTAATAATATTTAGATAAATCAACTGTCCGAGTTTTCCTTTGTCAGAGTTTAGTAAAATATCAGTTGTCCGAGTTTTCTTTTGTCCGAGGTTAGTTTAAATAATAATAATATTATTTGGTTAAATCAACTGTCCGAGCTTTCATTTGTCGGAGGTTTTAAGTTATTTTTTAAAATGTTGAAATATCATTTGTCCGAGTTTTCAACTGTCCGAGTATCATCAGTGCCAAAAGTGACACCGCCTCCGAGTCGCTATTACAGTCACTGCAAGAAGTAATCAGACTAACACTGCGCTCGCTGTCAAACGGACGGTTATGTGGTTAGGTTCGGTCCAACGGGATTGCGCCACTAGGGCCAGGTAGACACCGGCAAAGCGCTGCCACTGCTAAATCTACCCCCCAAAACGCAATGTCATTGCGCCAAAGCGACATTTCTTCAAGTTCAAGTTCAACTTTTTCCCCCTTCATTATCAGGTTATGTTTGCTTAGGTTAGGTTAGGTTACATTCCATCTTCTGCCCGATTACCCGGCCACCTGGGGTAGCAGATGGTAAACGCGGTGTCTCGGATAGTTGAAAAGTCGGACAAATGATATTTCAACATTTCTTTTTATAATTTAAAACCTCGGACAAATGAAAGCTCGGACAGTTGATTTAACCAAATATTATTATTACAGTAGAATCTCTTTAATCCGAACTAATTGTGACCAGGGGTAATAGTTCGGATTACAGATCATATTGTTGTTTTTATATAACAATAGCTAAAATGGATCGTAATTGTTACCAGAAAAAAAGGAAAATGCTTTATGATTTGTAACGTTAAATACAGTATTTAATACGGTAGTAAACATAGTGAATAAACAGTGCTGTACATTGCAATTATGGTGTGTATATCAATAAGTACAGTATACGATAAAAAAACTACTGTACTGTGTATAGAGTACAGCAATGAGGCGTTCGGATTAGTTGACTTTTGTATTACACGGGTTTAGGTTAAAGAGATTTGACTGTATTTAAACCAACCTCGGACAAATGAAAACTTGCACAGTTGATTTATCTAAATATTATTAGTTATATATCAAGCCTCGGACAACTGATTCTCCTAATATTTCAAAATTTTTAACAAACCCAAACAATTAATTGATAACTTGGACAAATGAACCTCACCTGTTTTCAACAGTTCTTTTGTGTTAAAGTAAAGTACAGAAATTCTTTCTTATTTAATTATTCTTACTATAAAGTAGATTTCAAGATTAGGATCACACATTCATGGGGGTATATTAAAAGCAGCTCTTTTCTAGAATATTCCTACTTTAGACTACTCAATATGTACTATCTACTCTTTTTTAACTCTTGAAACTCACACTGTGTAGGAATATTCATCACAACAAATATTACACCAACCTTACAAACAGTTTTGGCAACGAACCAGCAGCTTGAAAAATTTAGTTTAAACGAACTTTCATAAGAGACTTAATAATCTCAATGTGAACAAATTATAAATTAAGTGTTTTTTTCCAGTGGATGAACCAAGACGCCGACGGGCAGTATCGTCACAGCATTTTCTATGGACACACTGAGTCACCGACCGTTTGCTTTCGGCATATTTTGTAAGGCTGGCACTCTGTTTTACTTATGTGAATAGATATTCCAAAAGAAACAGTTCTTACTTCTTCCTACCTTCTTGGTTGGTGAATAAACTCGATGTAAAAAAATCTTTAAACCATTGTTTAGTATCTTTGAATTTTTATTTTGCCTGGTTACATATTTAAAATGCTTCAACATTCTAAACCCCTTCCCTTTAATCTAAGGGTCTCCATATAGAAATTCTTACTTGTTTTGCATTGTGACATTGTTAAGAGGGTTCCACCCGCCAGCTGGTTACCAGGTAAACATGGTCCTACAAAAAAGAACCTCTTGGCATTATTAAAGAGTTTATCGAGTTGAAATAAACTCTCAAATATTCACAAAGATCCAACCTATGCCCTGAATAAACTAAAACTTTGTAATCGTTTCTAAGGGTATTTACAAAATCCTTTTTAAAATCCGTAAAATAGTCTTTTTCAAAAGTTATTTTAGCTCCTAAGTTGAACATTAATTTATTCCCATCCATTGCAAGCTCTGATACGTTAAGAGCACAAAAAGCACACAATCATTGGAAACAAATAAGTTTTAGTGTTGAGAGCTTGTACCATAGAGGCATGTTTAGAAACATTAGCATGTTTAGCCGCCATCTTGAATTGACCGGCTAGAACCCTCTAACTAAAAATTCAGAAGTGTCAGTGTTTAAAATATTTTTACTATGCGGTATTTAATAAGATTATTCAGACAATTTTATAGACAACGTATTGAAAGGGAAGATTGATATTGTATTAAAACTGTATTTTCAAGAGGAGTAAAACTAATATCAGAGTCAGATGAAGCCAATATACTTGACAAGCTGTTATCTTTCTGATATGTTTCATCTAGAAATATTGTTAATCTTGCAGTATATATAACAAGACTTTTAAGTACTCTCTTGCCTAACTTAACCTTAAAAAGATATTATTTTTTGTGGAAACAAACAAATGTGTAGTAATGAGACTGAAAATCTGAAATATGTTTCATGATGTATAGTACTGAATTTCCCCTGTTATTTCTACTCTGGCTTAAAACATTCAAGTACGCTAAATTCTCACTAATGTCAAGTAATTAAGCCCGGAACCTGTCCAAAGTTTGTGATACATTACTGTTATTAATTGAGTTTAAGGTTTGTTGGCCTTTTGGTGCACTGAAAAAAAATATACTTTGGTAAATACTGTTTAATTTACAGCATTTGTGTTTTGATTCCCTGTGTTTACCATTTAATTGCTTAACAGTACTTCATAGTATGTATTGTAGGCTGTGGAAAAGGGAAGTGGCTTTGAGCCAGTTTTGGAATAGCTCTTTGCTATGAAAAATTACCAAGAAAAATCCATAATTTCTAGGAAAGTATTTTACAATTATTGTTGACGTTTGTAGTATTTTCTTCTCAAACAGCTATTTATGAGTGTTCAAAAACATGCCAGATAAAAAAAATGATTTTATTATTTCACTGAATATTTCAAACAACAGATTGTACTGCCATTAAATTTTTTTTTTTTGTTACAAAAATTGGACCGTTTTGTTTGAAACAAAATAGTAAAAATAGTAGTTTTGACCACTAGGAGCAAAAGTGGCTCTTTTTGGTACGCAATCGTGTTTTACAAGCGGGGCGCAACCAAGCTTGGAAATACAATTAGGTAAAAAAAAGAAAAAAACACTTTCTCTCCGTGTGATGAACAACTACTTTCATCTTACTGTGGAAATAACTTGATTTTGTGTGATTTATCAGAGTTTTCATAATGCACTGATAAAATTTTTAGGTTAGCGAACCAACAAATTTACCAATGTTTTTTCTGTTCCCTATTTGAAGTTACTCGAAAAGATGAATTGGGGACGATTTAGGGAACTAATTTCAGTAGCTTTCTGGACAGTATGATGAAAGTAGATGATTTCTCTACATACAACTAAAGTGATTAACTTTAGTTGTATGTAGAGAAATCAAAAAAAAAAAATCCTTTCAGCTGCCTTAGCAGCTTTCGCCAGCTGTGGTCAGACTGTCAGATTTGGTTGATTGGTCCTGTTAAGTGGGTAATGAGATGATCATCTACAATAATTTATATAGCTGTGTTTACTATTTAATAATAGGCCTACCATTCCACACATTAACATTATTTTATTTTTATTCTGTGAAGTTTTTAATGAGATGACTTAGAACAACATTATGTTTGTTACTGTAGCTCGGGGAGCGAGCTTGGCAGATTTCATACAGCCAAGCTTGGTTCAGCTTCAGCCGAATCTAGACGATTTCATGGACACTTTTGAACCACTTCAAGGTAATTTCCTTATTATAAAATGTTTACTGTTTTATTTTAAAGAGTTGAGAGTTTTATTATGCCATCAAATTTGTTGAGAGGTTTTTCATAGGTATATATTTTTTTATCCTATCCTAAAATAGGTAAAGTTTATCAAGACACCAAGAAACACTCTTATTCTTCCAGTATAACTAAGTTCTGCTTCAAAAATTATTTCTAGATCAGTTTTAAAGCCAGAATTTCATACACTAGCACAATCTGTGACAGACTTGTTCAACTATCTTCTGTTTTTATTTTAAAAACTGTCAATACCTAATTTATACAGATGTGATGTCAACTTCAGTATTCAAAATTCAACAGTTCTAGTCACCAGGATGTTTGCAAGATCTTGCTGTACTATTATAACTGCCGAGTCTTCAGTTGTAATTAATTTCAGAGCTGTTCTACTCAAAGTTACCGCCTGTGCCTGAGGAGAGTCATACATCAGTGTCTACAGACAACCTTTACCGCTCACTGGACTACCAAGCATCATCAGCTACTACCAAGACACCAGACATGTCTAGCTACCAAGCTCCCTCTCCTCCCTCACCCACTACTAGTGCTCCGTACTACCAATACCCTCCCCAGCAGTCACAACCTCCACCCTCACCCAAGCAGAGACCTCCCTCCTACCATGGGACCATATACAGCATGCAACAATACCAGCAGCTGTCTCCCCCACCCCCACAGAGGACTTCTCCCTCCCCTCCTCACACCTCTCAACCCTCAGAGTTTATGCCTCCCAACTACCCCCGTGTTCCCATCAGATCCAATAGTCTCCCCATGGCGGGATCTCTGCCTACTCGTCGAGATGAGGAGTTGTTCGCTGTTCCAAAGGTGTGTTGGTTGTGTCATACTATTAACAGTAGGACTAAATTATTTGGTAAATAATTTGGCTTTAAGATTCTTCTTCACCCGTGGGGTGGTTGCATTTTGAAGGTATGGCCATGGGGGGAAGGTTGGGTGGGCGGGCGGGTAGCGTGGGGTCATTATGTGCGCCATTCTGAAAACATTGTAAAAAATAGACTACTAAAGACACGACTCTGCACCTACGCACGTGCAGTGGCAAACTTCTCTATCTCTACATTTGGACAACAAGCCACTCATATCGAACTTATATCTTACTGTTAGATACTGTTCAATGAAATGGTGACCATACGTAGTAGGTATTTTAAGCCATGTATGAATAGAGATGAGTGGCGCGATCTTGTAGTCTTGTTAATGACTAAGGCCGACATTCCTTTATTAATTAATAGCCCATACAGTTAATGGCAACTAAGGGACCTACAGTTTATAGTGGAATCCGAACCACATTTTTCCTTGGTATATATCACTAATGTATATCACTTGCATCACTGCTCTTCCCATTAGTTAATAATTATTTATATTGTTTCTTGTCTCTGAAAGTCAACCAGAGCGATTCAGTGCCATAAAACAATCATGGCTAAGCGTGTTTATAATATCTGTTGCCTTTATTTAGGCTATACTAGTTGTATTACCCAGGCTACGCCATGGGAAGATTTAATATTTTTAGAGAAGTTTAACATATAACCTTTCATTTGGTATGCGGTTGATAGGTGTGAGGCTTACGGTTTTCTCAAAAGTTCAGATCCTTATTAGCTTTATGTATAGATTATTACCGTTATGTTGTTACATGTTTGAATTGCTTTAACCCTCCGAGTGTCCATAGTTTAGGCCTTTATGTCCGCCTATTTTTGGCGCATTTGCAAGGTTTTATTAAAACGGATCTGAAAAGCTTAAAACAATGTTAATTCTACTGTTCTATATACCATTTTGTTTGAAAAATCATGGGCTTCAATATCATACATAAAACCTAAGGAATATTTGTTTCAAAAAAATTTTTTTAGGTAAAAATAAAAATTATTTTGGAAAAATTGAAAAAAAAAATAAGTTTGCGCTCAATGAAATTGTATAAATTATAGGCCTATAAATATTTGAAAATAGCCACTTTGTTCTAAATTTTATGAGGATTACAAATATATAATAATATAAGGAAGTAGATTTGCAAATAAATAAGTTATGGGCAAAAAACAGATTTCAGTACATAGCGTTTAGCTAAGAATGCATAGCCTAACCATAGCTAGGAATCTGGCTGATAATTTACATCAATATCACTACCTACTTCTTCAGGATCATCAACCAGCCCTTCAAAATCACTTAAATCTTCTTATAATAAACCACGTATATCACTACTTTTGATTTTTAACACTAAAACAATGATAAACATAATAAAACACATCAGTCATAGCTCAAGGTTAACTAACCTGTTTACAAATACGCACGTCAGCTGTCTGCTACAATTACGATCGGCTCGGAGAACATAAAGCGCTTAGAGACAGACCTCTGGAGAAAGCTTAGAATCTAACGAAAAGAACGATACCTAACTCGATCCAGTTCAATCCGATTTTGTCAGTCATAGAGCCTTCGCCGTAAACAGTGTTCGTGAGTCGCTGCAGCGACGCATGACACTCGGAGGGTTAATATTTTGATTATAAAAAATAATTATTATTTAATTGTTTGTAGTATAGCTTTTTTACGACTAAAACTTGACAAATAGGCTAGTAAAAAAATTGTTTTTAAATCAACATAAGCCTTAATTTTTAATTTTTTTTTTTTTTTTTAATAATTACAATTTATTTTTTCAGCTTAGTTTTCACATTATATCCTCCTTAAGCAATCCCATTTTATAATTATATGTTCCATTAGTCTGAAATTAATTACGTAGTTATTTTTTTTATAAGTTAAAAAAGTAATTTTCTACTCATTGTTTTTATAATTGTGGAGTAAAACTCGCAGAAATTCACTGTAGAGCAAGAATACTTAACATATTTGAAAAAAATATGTTTTCTTACTGTGTCTACAGTCATCCATCTTCCAAGTGGTTTATTTTTTTAACATTGATGACAAATTACATTACAGATAATTCAATTCAGAAAAATCAAAAATCCCATACACACAAGCCAATCAAACTTGACTACCTTTAGAAAGAAGTTGCTGGAGTGTGTCAAGGTCAATGACAGGTAGTAAATAACGGCCGGACATTTTGCTAGTGGTGCACAACAGCCGCGCACTTCTAAGCCGAAATATAGTTTGTGATTTAGCTGTTTTGGCCAAGGTTATTGACTGAATCCTTTTGATTATTTTTTTACAATTTAATAAAAGTGATACTGCACCAATCTATTAGTTACCTTTAAATGTGTAAAGATACTTTCAAGTTGTTTCTATGGATCCATAATTATATTAATTTTTGCCATAATAACAAAACAATACTTAGGATATAAAAAATATTTGAGGCCCCTTTAAGTTTTTAACATGCTTTGACTACAAGAAAATGTTTTTTTTTTTCAAATTCAGTTTTGACAAATGGTATTGGAAACAGCTAAATAAAAAGACATGTTTCGCCCTTTATAAGAGGATGATGAAGAATCTTAAAAATTGAGACTATTTTAGCAAAAAATTATGACTTATTTGGCTTAAAACCGTGACTAATTTAGTTTTAAAATTATACTAATTTAGCTAAACAAATTAGGACTAATTTTACTTAATCATTAAGACTACTTTTTAAAATTACTATTTTAAAGATCAAAAGGGTAGATAAAGTTTTAAAAACCTTACTATGGGTGTTTATATATAACGTGAAAGGTGAAAATTATACAAACCGCCATATGTGTAAAATAATGTATAAATTAGAAATTAATTTCAATTTTAAATTAATGGATGGGTTTGGACCAAAAATCAAAGTCAGTTACAAAAGATTATAGGGTTACACCTTTCAATACTTATTTACTCTTTCCATCAAGCAACTCAGGGCATTGACCATCAATGTCTTAGTAATCATTTTTCTTTTGTTTGCAGAAGCTTTTACATATCTGACATGTTATCAATTTATGTAATCCTTGCCATAAAACAAGATTCCTACTTTAATACAGTTCTGCCAAGCAAAGTTCAAGTGAACATAGCTTTTGATTGAGTACATTTATTGATAAGATAGTCTGCAAGTGTTCTAGTTATTTTTTTTCTTAATTGTAGGCTACTTAAAAAAATAACTTCTTGTAAAATAAAACTTGATTTTTTTACACAAACGTTTAGATTTTAACCAGTTGAGTTTTTTACCGACAGTTTAAATGAATCCAAGCAAATAATATGATGAATGAATAATAGTTCTAATTGTTATAACATTAAAATTAAGACTATCATTTCCCTAACAATTCTTATTTTTTTAAATTTAGGACTACGACTCTGATGATTTTTGGGATTAAATACTGTATAAATGATTTATGAAATGACGAAGGAATATTGCAATTAAGATTTTTATGGTAAGGTTACCATTCAAACAAAATAATATAATGACTAGCAGTCAAACATTACTAATACTCAAACTAATTTATCAAAATTGAATAACTTTTTAGTTTGAGTTGTTGTTCTCTTGATCTAGAGTTAGTATATTACCTTAGCATTGTCTCTTAAGTCGGCTGCACACGTAATCAATTTGGCTTGTCAATTCAATGTGAACAACTAAAAAGCGAAACAAATGTGTATTAAGGTAAAACATCACAGCTGAGGGGCTAAACATAACAATGTGGATAAGTCTAACTGACAAGCTCAATTGACCAAACTATGTGAACTCAAGACAACAAATTTTACTGAAAATGGCAACTAAAGAGCTTAGTTATTGAACGTGCTGAGAAGACTTGAGGAATGTCAATAACAGCTGGTATTAAACTACAGTAGAGTCCCGCAAACTCGGCGTACTGTGCACTGGAAGGGTGCAGAGTTTGTGAAATGCCGGGTTATCGGGAACTAGGGTTGAAAATAAGAACAATTCTATTTTAAAGCTTTTTAACCGCCTTTTTATTAAATTTATATTTATACTAGCAGAGAACCCGTCCTTCGTACGGGTTTGGCATATAAGTATAAAATGCTTATTGCAGTTATACTCAAGCTTTGCGTTTGCAATGGGGGGAGGACACAGTTTGATAAAATTTGGTTCATAAATTTACGGTATGATATAGTATAACACATCTACCATTGCCTTAATGTTCTACCATTGCACCTAAACAATAGAAAAAAATAATTATCAATCATTCGCACAATATCACAAATTATTCAATAAATTAAAAACTCAAACCTAACTGTAAACAATCCTACTTTGACAGTTCTCATTGTGTATCACAGCTTTTTGTTGCTGCTTAGTTCAAATTAGCTGTTGTCATATATCCACAAACAAAATAATAATAGTGCTGCACCCTGTTGGGAAACCTTATTACTTTTTAATGCTATTGCATATTATAGAACCAACTTGTAAAGTTGAAACAGCTGACTAAATTCTTTAATTCCCTTTAAATATGAATACTCATAAGGTTAAAATGGGGAACTACAGACCCACTGGGGCGGAGCCCGAAAGGATTTTTGAGATAAGAATATGCCTAAATGTTAATAGGGAATGTGAGCTATCATCATGCCAAATTTCAGCCCAATCCGTCCAGTAGTTTATGCGTGATTGAGCAACACACAAACTTTCAGATTTATAATATTAGTAAGATTACAAGTCAGTATTAAGTGTCAGATATAGTACAACAAATCCTTGGTACGAGTTGTGAATGATTTGACATAAGCTAGCTTGAGTCTAGTGTTTAACTGGGAATAAAAAAATCACAAATTTTCTGAGCCAGGTGATGGCTGAGTTATCCAGACTGCCGGGTTATCGATAGCCGAGTTTGCAGGACTCTACTGTAATTGTAGTTTTTAACAGTCAAATATCTTCCATGATTCAAGCAAGATAGTGTAGAGATAAGCACGGGACTTCAGTCCCTGCTGCAACAGTCCGAGGTCCCACATTCAAATCACATCAATCCGCAATGGCTTTAGCTGCTGTGTGACGTAGGAGCATACAGCGATCGTCTACTGTTGTTGTTTTGTGCAGTTGAAGATGTTCAACCGGTCGCGCAGTGGGTCGTGTCTGGCGGGAAGTGTCAAGCAACCACCTCCTCTTGTGTCAGCCGTCAGTGAGCCTCAACTGGCCTTGCCGCCTCCACCCCCCTCCACCAGTGCCTTGCTAGCTCATCTGCTCACCACCAGTAAGTACCTTTCAACAGTGAGTGAGAACAAGTTCATTGGTGACTACAAAATGTAATCTGTCTGTTTGACATGTTTTTTCCTAGACAATATCGAGTAGAATCATTCCTAAACAAGTCAATCTCTGATAGCCAACAGTGAATAAAAGAGAAAAAAGAAAGTACAACTTTAGTAGAAGAAATAGAGACAAACTAATTCCTTTACAAGTAGTATTAAGCCCTAAGTATGGAATAGTTATTATATTTTATGTGAATTCACATGCACAGCAGAATGTAACATAAGACTCACGAACTTGAAAACAACTAGGAATAGGTTTTCCCTATTTTTGACCCTTAAAACACAAAATTCACAATTTCTTTCCAAACCAGTTTGTAAAACTAAAAAAAAAAACAAATAATTTAGTATATTGAAGCGTTATTGTGCTTCTAATGGTGGTGAAGAAAATTAAAAAAAATTATAAATTTAGAATTCCCATGTTATTCTGAGATAAAACATGAATGTATTTAAATGTGAATTGTAACTAAATTACCTCCAATATTTATTAATTGTATTCTACAAAATTAATAATAAGACAAACTGTATTCAAAAATAACTAGAGAACCCTTGCGGCTCAATGAGCCGCATAGTATGAAACATAACGCCGAGAAAAACTTTATGCTTAAATTCGAGTAATTGTAGCTACATCCTAGAGTTGTTTAAACACTTGTTGGAAACTAATTTTAAATATCTCTGTTTGCATCATCAAGGTTCACCAGCATTATTTCTGCTCTCAGTTTTAATTGATAGTGTCTAAAGAATGTTAAATGATATGCTTCAAATTGAGTTAACATGTTGCAACAAAGTTTTTCTAGCTTTGAGAATTGACGAAAACTGTTGCCTTACTGCTAACCTGTGTTTAATTATTTAAGTTGGGTCATTTTATTTCTTTGATTTGAGACATCCCCCTAATCAAACAAATTTTCTCCGTGGAGAACCCTGAATAGTGAGGTGATATCAACCATTTCATGTGCTCCATTTTTTACCCACAAACTGTGGGTTGCCAGCTGGACTGCCATAATCTGCTTTGAATAGGCTAAAGCAGCAACACCATTGAAAGTTGGTTAACATATTTTAACGTGTTGTCTGTCAGTCTCGCGTTGATTAGTGAAGTTTCTCTAAATACCTGTCCCAAAGTTTTGATTCATTTGTCGAAATAGGTTGGATGGATAGCAATTTTCTTATTCTCTTTTTAACAGCGTATATTATTTGCCTCTCCTAAATCATAAAAATAAACTTGACCGTAACAACTCGATCGTTGAATACATAAACACTAATTCCTTCACTTATGTTTGGTCTAATATTGACACTAAAACTTTCAATAGCAAATGAGTCCCTCCCTGTTGCAGCAAATCTAAGTACTCGTTAAACTAATTCAATTTAAATAGGGAATAAATGTGAAATTCCACCCACATGTGAAATTCACATTATAAATGTGAGGTGATATTTTTAAGGAGGAATTTAGTGTAAATCCAATCAGGCTAATGGAAATTCGCTTAGTCTGCAGGTTTGCTGCGGCGGGGGTATTATTTACTCATTAGGCCTACATCTTTACACTGCTTAATATTACTAAAAGATTTAAAAATCTGTGGACTGCTTAACATTTGGCAAAATTATATAGCAACAAATTATATAGCTCAATTACACCATTCACTTCATCACAAGAAGAATTACTTGTCACCCAGCAAGACATGATGTTGTTGCAGAAGCCCATGTCATAATTTTCATATGTTCCCACATAGCACCGAATATTTATTTGATATCAAATAGCTATCAAATTTTTGACATTTGAATATCAAATTGATATTCACGAACATTCGTTTGATATCAAATAAACGTTCAATTTAGGTTCAAACGTCACTCAATTTTACATCAAATATATATTCAAATTGAATATAAAATAAATATCAAATTTGACATTCATAAATTTATTGGTAAAATATAATAAAGAGAATATGATTGAATTTACATTCACATTTTAAATATGATGGTGATAAATATTGATATAACATTTTTGACATTCGAATATTAAATTAATATTCGCGAACATTCATTTGATATCAAATAAATGGTCAATTTAGGTTCAACCTCACTTAATTTGACATTAAATAAATAATAAATTGAATATCAAATAAATGTCTCATACATTTATTGGTAAAATATGTTTAGAAGAATTAGGTTGCATTTTTTTCACATTTCAAATTTCATGGCGATTAAAATAATATCAGTTCAGACTTCTTTACTGTTCTTACCTTGATTTGACTTATTATTCTGAAGTTATAGGTAGTTTGTTAAAGTTCTTGGGTGACCCAAAAATGTAAATATATATATTTATTTCTTATTTGACAAAACATTAACATAAGTATCACAAAACATATTTGTTTAAAACAAAATTGCATTCAAGGAAAACATTTTAAAGAAAAAAGTTTGTTTGTATGATAAAATAAGTTTAATTAAAAATTATTTAAACACAAATATAAAAAATATATGTACAATTTACAAAAAAAATAATTCTGGTCTTCTTCATCTCCCAAATGGCCTTCTTGAGTTTTCTATTGTTCCTGTAAAAGAGGTTCAACAGAGTTATTTTCTAAGACAGCTATAGATAAAATATAATATGTTAGACAAGGGGTCTCCAACCCTTTTTCCTCGGTGAGCACTTTTTTGTCTAAAAACGCCACCGATTTAGCGACTAACGTTAATTGTTCGCTACTCTATCGAATCACAACATCATCTACTATCGATGCGATTGTAGTTGTCGTTTGTCACAAGGTAAAGGCTTTTTGTGATACGGACGAAATGAGAGCATTCTATTATAAAATTAAAATGTCGTAACCTAACCAAATTGACCAAACTTGCTGATTGTGAAAAAATTGAATTAAGGTTTACTACGGACAAAATGAGAGCATTCTATTATAAAATTAAACTGTCATAAGCTAACCTAACTTGCTGATAATATAAAAAAATATACAAGATAAAAATTGAATGAAGATTAGATTTAACAAGGTTAGGTTTGCAGCCATGGAGAAGGTACTGTAAAAAGTTTTTTTGAGCATACGTCAATAGTATAGGATAAAGTAAATAAGTTTGCCAAATTTTATCAAAATCTATCCATAAACAAATAAACTACATAGTTTCCTTTTTTAATAATCTAAAATATAGTTCTGTTCATAAAATAAAATTATAAATGCCTCTAATTCTAACGAAAGATGTGCAATTAAGAAGTAATCACATTCTAAGCTAAATCTTTGACAAAAAGTTCAATGATATTTTAGTAAGAATAGGCTATAAAATTTGACACTTAAAATGTCAGCTAGTTTAAGATTTCAATTTGTAGTTCTGCCAATTAGGATCAATTAAAAATATATATATTTAAATTAATCTGCCGCTACTTGACTACTACTACTATTCCCCTAGGCCTATTGAGAAAAAATTAGCAAGTGAGAGACATTTACTATGTTCCTATTTAAATACGTTAACCTGCCAACTTGGAGACAGGGTATTGTACACAAATTTTGTTGAATGGGGAAGAGACAGTTAATTGGTCTTAATTATGGTATGAGCCGCGAGGTAAATAAATATCCCATGGCTGAGCCTGCATTCATTGACAAAGTTCTCTTTTTACACCTCAAGGAAATCACGGTCAACAATGAAGGGTGTTGCTGGGATTGCAAAAGACAATCACGGCACCGTCGAGACTGCAGTATGGTAATATGCTCGTGAGTCTTGGCGAGATCACGGGAGATGATCACGATATAGCTGAGACCACCTGACCACACGTGTTTACGCAATCGTGGGAGAATATAATTGGTGTTTGCTATAAAAAATAATAATTTTCAAAAACGTATGCTGGCTTTCTGCTGGCTGGAATAAAACTGCACGAGGGCCGGATGTAGCCCACAGGCAATTAAGATGTGCTGAGAAAGATGTGCAATTAAGAAGTAATCACATTCTAAGCTAAATCTTTGACAAAAAGTTCAATGATATTTTAGTAAGAATAGGCTATAAAATTTGACACTTAAAATGTCAGCTAGTTTAAGATTTCAATTTGTAGTTCTGCCAATTAGGATCAATTAAAAATATATATATTTAAATTAATCTGCCGCTACTTGACTACTACTACTATTCCCCTAGGCCTATTGAGAAAAAATTAGCAAGTGAGAGACATTTACTATGTTCCTATTTAAATACGTTAACCTGCCAACTTGGAGACAGGGTATTGTACACAAATTTTGTTGAATGGGGAAGAGACAGTTAATTGGTCTTAATTATGGTATGAGCCGCGAGGTAAATAAATATCCCATGGCTGAGCCTGCATTCATTGACAAAGTTCTCTTTTTACACCTCAAGGAAATCACGGTCAACAATGAAGGGTGTTGCTGGGATTGCAAAAGACAATCACGGCACCGTCGAGACTGCAGTATGGTAATATGCTCGTGAGTCTTGGCGAGATCACGGGAGATGATCACGATATAGCTGAGACCACCTGACCACACGTGTTTACGCAATCGTGGGAGAATATAATTGGTGTTTGCTATAAAAAATAATAATTTTCAAAAACGTATGCTGGCTTTCTGCTGGCTGGAATAAAACTGCACGAGGGCCGGATGTAGCCCACAGGCTATAGGTTGGAGACCCCTTCGTTAGGCATTTTTAAGACCTATTTTTTTACTATACCTGTACTTTATAATTAACTTTGTCGATAAGGCATTGAGTTCTTGACAATAAAGAAAAAAGAGATGGATAAAACCGCAGATTAAGTTTTGCTCATTTGCATAGCCTGTCACTGAAAATTCACAATTTGAAAAGAAAACATCACAGTAGTTAGATGTCGGCCTAATCTGTTAATTATAATAAAATTTAAGTTCTATATTAGGTAATTAGATAAGCAATCTTTTCTTTAATCTAAATTATAAATAACACAATAAATTTACCTTGCATCAATCCTAAACTTTGCTGGGCGAAG